GCCTTGTGTGTCTCCATATACGAATGTGTTGATGCCACCCTGTACGTGGATTGTTTTGTGCAAAGGTGATACAACCTCGCTTTTTTGGCAATCGTGAATGCAGACCCTGTTACGCTGCTCGCCACGTTTACGGGGCTCTGTTTATCTCAACACACACACACACACACACACATTCAAACACACACACACACACACACACACGCACACACACACACACACACACACACGTTCACACACGTTCACACACAAATAGTAAAAGGCCCCGAAAAAAAAAAAAAAAAACATATATTTTTTTTCCATTTTTTTTCCATTCCTTGATTGTTTCCTCTAATTGAGATGAGAGTCGTGAGCGGCCGAGACAGCTTGATGCGACTCAAAACTCCATTGGCCGATATAAGGAAAACCCATGCACAAGAACACATGTTGGGAGTAGATGGGAGGAGAGGAGTAATGATGAGCAGAGGAGGAGAGTGGTAGAGACAGAAAAGCACTCAAGTAGCGCAAAAACTTGCTTTATTAAGATAAATCGTGAGGAACAGAAGCACAGCGGCAAAATTCCCGACATGTTTCGGTTGCGTCGCCATCGCAGCCATCATCAGGGAAAAAATATATGCGCTACGTGGTCTTTCAATACCCGTTATATATACCCATACTAATCGTAGCTCTTCCCTAGTCCCGAAGTATCCGACCACTCCCTCACACGGGGAAGTGGGGAGGGAGAGAGAGAGAGAGGGAGAGAGAGAGAGAGACTCTGAGAGAGAGGGAGGGAGAGAGAGACTTTGAGAGAGAGAGAGAGAGAGAGAGAGAGAGAGAGAGAGAGAGAGAGAGAGAGAGGAGGGAGGGGGGGGAGAGAAGAGACAAAGAGGGAGAGATCGAAGGCGGGAATAGAGAGGTCAGCTATAGTATTTGTCAGAAGAAATGCGGCGAGATGGAGGTGCTTAGAATGGTAGTCGTGTAGCAAGATGTCATCCATCGGAGAGGAAAAGGGCGGAAATACGAGGTCGCAGAACAAAAAACAAGCAGATACGATGGATGGAGAAAACGGGTAGAGTAAGGAGTAGAATGGTGGGAAGGGGTAGCTCAGAAAAGACACCATGGAGGAGGCTAAAGTCTCGAATGGGGTGGTAGATAGAAGATATGGCCCATACGGAAAGCCCTGGAAATCCGAGGTAACGTGGAAACGTGGAGCTACGTACGTGCTGGCAGTCAAATCCAATCGAAGACGACAGATGCAGGGTCTTCTTCGGCAGTCGAGGCGTTGGATCTCCATAGTGTTAGTGTGAAATGCCGTGACATCATTTCGTCTGATAGTTTCCAGCCGACTGTTAGGACATTCAGAAAGTTTTGCCCTTCGGTGCAGCATGGAAACCCATTATTCGATTGTTCCCCCCCCCCACTATCGTTTCAACCCCCTAACAGACCCTCACATAGAATTCTAACCCACCCCTTCCAGCAGTCTTTGTTACTTGCAGAAAACTTCTCGGCCATTTTGAAAAAAAAATTCTGAGGGAACCCTTTTCTCCTAAGTTCCCTTCTTA